ATGTAGAAGTCTTTGTTGAGGGGGGGCAATGTTAAAATATGTACACAGATAATAATTTAATTAAAAAATGTAAAAAAAAAAGTCTTTGTTGATTTCTCATGTTTTATATTAATTATGTCACTCTCTAATATGGCCGAGAATAGGAGGATGTGGTTAGCTCTGTACCAATAACGTAGGTTTCAGAACTATACTAGTAATTCCGTGAAATATTAGCACCTGGTCTCCAGGTGGCCTGAGATCAGAGCCGCAGGGATGAACAGTGAGAGAAACGCCCTTCTGGAGAATTCCGCTTTAGTGAGTATGATCTATTTTCACAGCAAGAACATTAAGCACACTAGTAAGTTGTTGACTAGGAAATGATTGGGCTGGTCCCTGGTTCTGGCAGAATTAAAGAACCAGATGTTCAAATAGATAGTATAAGGATTTAAAAAAATTGACTTAACTTTAGAATCATCATCTTCAACAATTTAGTCAAGGAGGGTTTTTTTTTGTTGTTGTTTGTTTTGTTTTAAAAAACAAACTTCAGATTAGGGACAGATTTGCATTATTTTGCATGCTGTGTATTCTCTCGTTTGGTGTCTCTGATGCTTGCAGGAAGGAGCCCTGATTTTGGACTGTGTTTGGGTGGGCTTAGGGAACACACTAACCAGGACAGATGTGAGCCTGCAGGCTCATTTGGGTGACCTGCCAGGTCTGTGGCTTCATTTCAACCTGCTCACTGATTCACTGTGGGCCCCACGATGTTAAAGGTGGTTCCTAGTTTGCAGTTAGCATATCCAGCGTGGTTTTTGTCTTTTGTTTCATTTTCGGTACTATTGTCTAGGTTTTCGTATTCTCGTCTCCCCAGTTTTTGCATCTGATGGTTTACAAAATGCCTTTGATCTTCCTGTGATGCCTCTGAGATCTGGAGATAAAGAAGAGAGGGAAAGATCAAGAATAAATGAGGCCTACCTTGGCCAGGCAGGTGAGTTGGTTAGAGCGTCATTCTGATGGGCCAAAGTTTTGGGCTTGATTCCCAGACAGGACACATACAGATTCAGCCAATGAATGTATGAGTGTGTGGAGCAGCAAGTCTCTCTCTCTCTCAGATTAAAAATTAAAAATTAAAAAAATAAAGAATGATGCCAAGACTGGTTTGGCTCAGTGGATAGAGCGTTGGCCTGAGGACTAAAAGGTCCCAGGTTCAATTCCAGCCAAGGGCATGTGCCGTGTTTGTGGGCATGTGGTTGTGGGCACATCCCCAGTGGAAGGTGTGCAGGAGGCAGCTGATTGATATTTCTCTCTCGTCGATGTTTCTAGCTCTCTATCTCTCTCCTTTCTTCTCTGTAAAAAATCAATAAAATATATTAAAAAAAAAGAAAAGAAAGAATGAATGAAAGCAGCTGTGCCCATGTGAGCTAAGCAGGTGAGTGAGGCTTTCACACAGATCTTTGCTTAATATCAGTCAGCAGGAAATTCCCCCACATGCTCAGTTTGTGGGTGACAGGAGACTATGGGTGACTTTGAGGTTTCATCCATTATTCTTGTTTGTATTTTCCAAATTTAAAAAATCAGTCTACATTAATCACACACTGAAAGACACCATTGTAAAAATGAAGCCATGCTGCATTTCAAGTGATATGTTAGGTTATTTGGATCACTCCTCTCATTGAAAATAACTAAAAGAATGTTGAACAAATGTTGGAAGTCTTTTTAAAGACTTCATAGAACTAACAAGGGGTAAAGAATAACCAAATCAGAACCTGAAAGACAGTAGAAACAAAAATTGGGTAGAAACTGGGCTCTAATATGGCTTTTGCTTCCGGGCATGAGCACATGTTGCCACATTTGACTTCAGTTCTGACAGTCTTAAAGGACACACGCAGGAGGCAACCAATTAATGTGTTTCTCTCACATTGATATTTCTCTCTGTCTTTCCCTCTCTTGTCCACTCTCCCTAAAAATCAATGGAAAAATATCCTCGGGTAAGGATTAACAACTAGCTAACTAAATATATCTTAGTGAAATTGAAGGATAATAAAGATGAAGATAAGATCATAAAAATAGAAAAAAATTACCTTTCAGAAAATCTTCAACTATCTGGAAACTAAATAACACACTTCTAAGTAACCCAGGGGTCTAAAAAGAATCAAAAGAGAAAGTGCCCTGAACTGAATGAAAAGCAAAATGTGACATATTAAAAATTGGGGGTGCAGCTGAAGCAGTATTTAAAGGGAAATTGAGAACACTAAACTCTTAGATACCTTAAATTAATGTATTAAATTAGAAATAAATAACAAAAATATCTCAAAATAGTTGGACATTAGAAAGCATTCTTTAATCCCAAAGAGGAGAGAATTTTGCTGTTAGCCACACTGGAGCAATGACACTGAACTTATCCTTTCCCTCAGACAACTAGAAAAATGGACAAAATATATGAAACAATGATTTTTATTTAATTCCCTTCCTTTGACTTATACTGTCTCCCTTCTTTTTCCTTTTCTCTTCACCCTTCCCACCTCCCTCCTTTTATTCTTCCTTCCTTATTCCTTGCTTCATTTCACAAAGCTTTTGAGGAACATCACGTTTTCTCGTTAAAACAAAACCTTGAAGCTGGTGGCTGGTCTTCTGTTTTGTATCCCAGGTGACCTGGTACGTGTCCACACATTGTAGTATTCAGTTAATTAAATGATTGTCAGCCAGTTCAAATCATGACCTCATTTTGCAGCACATAAAATCTCTTAAATTCGCATTTTGTTTTTAATTTTTCTAAGCTTTCTTATATTTTCACTTGAGTCTCCCAAGGAGTCTGTGTAGTAGGTAGGCAGATTTATTATTCTTACTGTCCATATGAGAAATGTGCAAAGAACCACCTCATCAATATCACACTGGAGAGAACTTTCCAATTACTCTGAATCCTGGTGGTAATGGTAATTTAGAAATTGGGTCTGTTATTATTTTTTTTTTCTCTCTTCTGGATTTCAACTTGAAGACAGCAGAGGGCGTCTGACTACACAAAAGTACACTTGAAAGTTGACATATTACTAGATTTAAGATAATCCATTAAGGTTTCAAAAATATGAATTTCACTAAAATAGGTCCCTGTACTTAATCTTTTTACTATTTTAAGATTCTGATCTCATTTCATATGTTCTATTCTCTTTCTCAGTAATGAGAATTTCAACCTTATCCGTAAATCACTGTGACACATAAATCCAAGAGCTTTTCAATTCAGCTTTAAGATTTTTTTGGATAATAAAAGTATTAAGCACTGCATCTACCGGATCTTCCTAAATCTTTAATAGGGAATGTGGTCCCCTTTTGCAGCCCTTAAGAGGGGACTGCTGTGACTGAAGAGCCATTTTGTTTCAAGTGCATTGCCTCAAGGTAACTTAATATTCTTAGAAAAGCATAAAAGGATTAGGCATGTTCTTAAAGTCATACTGCACTAAAGGGAAAGTAATGATTTCCACACAGCAATAGTGAGGATATGGCCTTTTATCGCCCATTGTCAAAAATGATTTTTTTTTTCAGCATCTTGATCAGCTTCCAAATGTCTTTATTTTTCTATCATCACAGGTGTTTTTTTTAATTCTCTAACAGGCAGTGCTGGAGATAGTGGCATCCAGAATCCTATTCTACCATTTTTTCTCACAATTTCCCCAAATTTCATTTTCTAATATATATTTTTTAAAAATATATTTTTATTGATTTTTTACAGAGAGGAAGAGAGAGAGATAGTTAGAAACATCAATGAGAGAGAGAATCATTGATCAGTTGCCTCTTGCACACCCCCTACTGGGGATGTGCCTGCAACCAAGGTACATGCCCTTGACCAGAATCGAACTCGGGACCTTTCAGTCTGCAGGCCGACGCTCTATCCACTGAGCCAAACCGGTTTCGGCCCAAATTTCATTTTCTTATTAAATAACTAGGTTTCTGGACAAGGCTTGGAGTTGTTTGGAAAAGCATTCCTCCTTGATTGGTCAGGGATTTTCAAATTGATTAAATCTAGAGTACTTTTTCTTTTTAAGACAGTAGATCATGTCCTGGTTTATGCTTTCCCTTTGTCAAATGTTTGCTTGTGATTTTCCTTAATTTTTCCAATTTATTTGATTAGAAGCTGTCTTCTAAGTAACGATAAACATGATCATGCTGTTCTATCCAAACCATAGCATTCTATGTCCTACAAGTGGTTATTACATTACTAGAGGCCCAGTGCATGAATTTGTGCACCAATGGGGTCCCTTAGCCTGTCCTGTGGGATCAGCCTGAAACCTGCTTTCTGACATCCCCCGAGGGGTCCAAGATTGTGAGAGGGCACAGGCCAGGCCAAGACACCCTGCCAGTGCACAATCAGGGCCAAGGAGGGATGTGGGAGGTTGCCAGCTGGGGAGGGCTCCAAGGTGTGTCTGGCTCATCTTGCTCTGGCCTCAGCAGCAAGCTAACCTACAGGTCAGAGCATCTGCCCTCTGGTGGTTAGTACATGTCATATCAGCCAATCGATTGCCCCCTGGTGGTCAGTGCATGTCATAGCGAGCAGTTGAGTGACCTTAGCATATCATTAGCATATTACACTTTGGTTGGTTGAATGGTCAGCTAGACAACTGGACACTTAGCATATAAGGCTTTTATTATATAGGCTTTGAATAACATACTAAAATTTCCTAGGGAGTTCTAGTTCCTCAGGCTTGATAAACTAACTACCCTTGGAGGGGAGGTGTGATTAGTCCTGCTCTACCAATGAAGAAACAAGTCCTCTAACACAGGAAATTTGAGGAAAGTCATGAAGAAAGCACAATGGCAAGGTTGTATTTTTCTTTTCTTTTTAAATATATTTTTATTGATTTCAGAGAGGGGGAGAGAGAGAAACATCAATGATGAGAGAGAATCACTGATTGACTGCCTCCTGCAAGCCCCCTACTGAGGATGGCAACCCTGGCATGTGCCCTGACCTGACCAGGAATCAAACCTGGGACTCTTCAGTCTGCAGGCCAATGCTGTATCCACTAAGTCAAACCGGCTGGGGCAGGGATGTATTTTTATTGATGAGCAAAATATCCTCAGCACCTAACAGTACAGGGAAGTTTTGTTTGGGAAAAAGGATTGTCTTCACTTAGGGTCTGTAAATCCTTATAAGTGCATGCACAGCTTTCTGGGGTTGAAGCCACAACAATCACCTCATTCCCAAAAGGGCCCCAGGTAGGACAAATGTCGCTTCCTAACAAGTCACCAATTGGGTCATTTTACACAGGGCTAAGCAATTTGCCCAGATGGAGTAAACTTCGAAGCCAGCCTTCAAGGCCAGTCTGGGTCGCACAGAAAACGACAAATGCAGCGACCCGCAGGCAGTGAAGGAGGCAGAGCGCAGCCCGGTAATTGGGGGCGGAGCCAACCCTGCAAGAGGCCCTCCAGCTCATTTCCATAGATTGTGAAATAAAGCCGCGGAGTCCCGTCCCCCTTCCGCCCGCATTCCCGGAAGTGACGCACTTCCGCGCGCCGGTCCAGGAAAACGTACTTCCGGCGCGCCGCGCGCCGCGCGCCGCTCGCCACCAGCCTCGGCGTCCCTGGGCCGCCTTGGACCGGCACGATGGGCAAGAAGGGCAAGAAAGAGAAGAAGGGCCGCGGGGCGGAGAAGACGGCCGCCAAAATGGAGAAGAAGGTGTCCAAGCGCTCCCGGAAGGAGGAGGTGAGCGGGGCCGGCGGGACGGGCCCTCGTGCGCGCTGCTCCTCCGCGCCGGCTGCCTTGCTCTCGGCTGGCGTCCTCCGTCCTGTGGCGCTGGCGTTGCCGGTTTCCCTCGGCTGGGAGCTGGAGGGGCGGGTTGTTAGTGTGGGAAGATGCGGCGGCGCGCCTTTGCAAGGGGCGTGATCAGGGGGCAAAGGCTTAACTTCTGAGCCTCACGCCTCGTCTTTAAAAAAGTAATTCTCACAGCCACCCAGAGCAATGAGCGTCCGCGGAGCAAGTGGAACTCGGGCATTCCGTAACGGCTGGCTGTAATCACCACTCTCTTCTTCCTCAGTCCCTCTTCCCCTCTCACTTTCTCTGCTTTCCCTTCTCTCTCACTTTCCCTTCTCTTAGCAGGGGTTTGCACATGGAACAGGGCTGAACTTAAGAGTTGAGCGTTCTGCTTTCTGTTGACTGTGGTTCTCCGGCTCCCTCACTTGGGGCAACTTACAATGAGTGTTTGCTGTGTGCCAGGCACTGTGCACTCTGGATTTTAATCCTCAGAACCAAATGAATTAGTTAGCTTTGGCACCCCCATCTGACAGGAAGTCAGAATACACCGCTTTGAAATGGATCTTCAGAAGGCAGAGCCTGTACTCTTAATGAGTAGAGTAACCAAGCCTGCTCTCAACCAGGCACACCGGTGGAGATGCCTGTCCTCATTGCATAATGATGGGAGTTAGTGCCTGTTTGCACCAAAACTGATAAAGCAGCTCTCCCTCCACACCTGCTGCTCCTCATTCCAGCCACTCCTTCCTCCCACCTTACCCGCTTTAAGGAAGATCATTTCTGAGGTGAAGGACACTAGATCAGGAGCTCTGAACTAATTGTGACTCCAGTGGTCCTTTCTCCTTTCAGGTCTTTCTGTAAAATTCCAGTCATGCAGTAGTTTGCCTTGAGTACCTAATGCAGCATGTTTGGCATTAGGGACGTGTTGGTCAACAGGACAGCCGTTAGGTAAACTATCCACATAGAAGTAGCAGGATAATGGATACTTCCATAGCCTGCTGAGAGGGTGAAGATTGGCAGAGCCACTGTGGACCTACTATGTAAATATCTAGACAAGGGAAGCTACAGCCTAGTAATTACACACATAAAGGTTTCCCTTGGAAAAACTTTTCCCAACTACACAAACACAGTAATGGCCATAGTGGTATCTTCTATAATAATCTATAATAAAAAAAGTGTAATATGCTAATTAGACCGGACAGTCGAACGGCCTTCCAGACATCATTCCAAACATCCTTCCGGATGAAGCGGCAGTGGTGGGGGCTTAGGCAGAGTCAGGGGCATCAGGCAGGCAGGCAGGTGAGTGGTTAGGAGCCAGCGGCCCTGGATGTCCGACTGTCAGTTTAGGCCCAATCCTGCAGATCCCTGGCATGTTCAGAGCCAAGTATTTTATATGTTGAAATGTCCTTAGCAAAGATCCCTGCGTAATCAGGCCTAAACTGGCAGTTGGACATCTCCAAGAGGTCCTGATTGTGAGAGGGTGCAGGCCAGGCTGAGGGGACCCCCACCCTCACGCACGAATTTTGTGCACCAGGCCTCTAGTTGTTTATATAAACAAAAAAATTGAATTGACCCAGATGTTCATTAAACAGGCTGGGTAGAGAAGATGTGATGGTGTGCTACCTCTTCCACAATGAGAGTGAGTGGATTCAGTGTATCAAACTAGCAAAAGAGCAATTTGCAAGAGAATATACAGTATGATAACACTTAGGTGGGGTTGAAAAATGAAAACAACATAGCAAGTCCTCACTTAACATTGTCCATAGATTCTGTGTGTATGCAAAAGACATAGAGGCATACCTTGTTTTTTTGTATGTTATTGTCCTTCACAGATGTTGCATTTTTACAAATTAAAAGTAAGACCCTCCACTTGCAAAAAGATTATGACTTTCTTTGTTGTGATACTTGCTTTATTGTATGGCCTGAACCTGAACCTGCAATATCTCTGAAGTATGGCTGTATACAGAAACCAGCTTTACTCTGTGCTAATTGGTATAAACAAGAATTAAATTCCTATGGCATCTCATCAACATTATCATAAAATTATGTTATTTGAGGATGTGCTGTGTGTATATGTGTGTGTGTGTGTGTGTGTGTGTATATATATATATATATATATATATATATATATATGTATATATATATATATATATCTTAGGGATACATAATGTATAATAAAAATGTAAAGAAACGCTGGAGAGTAATGAGTACCCAGTTCCATATAGTGGTTATTTTGGGGAGGCGAAGGCAGTACCCTGGGAGTAGTGCTGGTGCCTGTTTAGCCAAGGGAATGATTAAAGGGATTGAGAGGAAGCCATTGAAGCTTGGAGTGAGGAAGTGGAGTGGGAAATGAGAAGAAGGAAGGAAGAATGGTCTGCAAGTGTCTGTAGGCGCAGGAAGGACATCAAACCTGCCTTCAGTGTGAAATGTGGAACGATGGAAATGAGGGTGCGTGTATTTCGGGGGTGGATAGAAAGGAAGGCAGGGACATATCCCAGGTCTCAGCATGAGCAGAGTGGGGGACTGAGCTTCCAAGAAGAGAATAAAAATAGAAGGGGACTTTCCTTATGACACAAAGGTCATGCATCAGCTTTCAGGGTCTGGGGGAAGGTTTATACAGGGAACGAGGCATTGCACTGGGGATAGGAAAATCAGGCTCCAATGCCACCCAGCTGGACAGGTAAATCTTAAATCTTGTCTGCAGATATAAAATAGAGGCCCTCTTACACAGAGGGCTGCAGCCCATAGTTGCCAACCCGCAGATGTAGGCTCTGGTTTAAGCTGACTGATAGGTTTTGCTTGCTTGGAGCTCTTACTGTTTTGGTGGGAGGGAAATGGAAACAAAATTAAAAACAAATGAGAAGGAATTCTTCTTTCAGACACTGCTGTGCAGACAGCAAAGCAGGCTGGCGGGGTGCTCGGGTTGGGTTTCTGAGAGGTGGTTGAAGGTGGTGTGAACTCTGGGTGGGCTTGTCTAAGTGGCAGGCCCTTCGTGGGGAGTGTAAGGGTTTGGAATTAGGTGACATTTCCAGGAAAACTACCTGTAAGTCAGTGGAAAAGCTGACCCAGGCCTGACCCCATAGTAGGGTTTAAGAAAACGTCTTACATGTGATTGCTTGTCTGCCTTTAGGAAGACCTTGAAGCTCTCATAGCCCATTTCCAGACACTAGATGCCAAAAAGACTCAGATTGTGGAGACGCCCTGCTCTCCACCTTCACCACGGTAAGTGAGCAAGACTCTTCATTATAGCTTCTGAGAGTGTTCTTGTATAAATTGGAAAACCGCTTTGTATAGGCAACGTGTTATTCATAAACAACCAGGTACTTGGAGACATTTTCGTCAATAAAACCTGTTCTGATTAGCTCTCACAAAACATTTTTTCACTTCTGAAGAATGGCATGAGGCTCTTCAGCTCTCGTCATGCAGAAACATGGGACAGTTGAGGTCTCAGCCTGCTAACCTGGGAAATTGTGCCAGGTTTGAAAGCTCCCCAACTGGTAACAATTTGTGGACTGAAGTGTTGTCCAAATGAGCTTTTCTTTGGTTCTTAAGATATTCTAAAAATTCCTATCATGGGTGGAAAATTTAAAATCACAGAAGCTTTTAGCTGTGTTCATTTATTATTGCTTTTAAATTCTAGTGAAAAAATGTGATTATTAAAAATAAATTGTGTATAAGCCAATTTAAATGAATTATAAACACTTGTGGGAGGAGCAGAAATGAGCAGGCTTTGGTTTTCATCTGACTTCTTACTCCTCTGCGTCAGTTCTTATCTTCTGAATTCCAGTTGCTTTATAATTTGGTTTTGGGCTGTGTGATTTTTATATGTGCCAACAGAGCAGAGGCATGACACAGAATGCACTGAGTTAGAGAGGCCAAGTGACCCTGATAATGAGATAGATTCCTCTCCTTCAGAGAAGGGGAAGCATGTTAACTTCACAAGCATCTGGGACTGTTTGGTTGAGATGATTTGCTTCATTGCCCTCAGATTAGTCTCTCTAGAGCTGTTGTCAGCCTGAATGGAGGCCTGGGGTCCAGCACTTCAGGAAGGAAGGTGGTTATAGTGCTGCCTTCACTTCAGTGAGGTGCAGGTGAAGGTTCTGCCAGCTAATTCCGATGACCTGGGACCCAGATTTAATTATCACCTGTAAGTGGGCTGGGGTTGGTGACTTGATTAGCCCCTGAGCCAAACAACCTGACTCAGCAGCTCTCAGAGTTGGAAGTCCTTTCTGTTCTTCATTTAGTAAGCTTCATTAGGAATCTGTTCTGTTTCCCCCTTTGTCCAGTGTGATATCGTTAGGGCCAAACAAGTCCCATTTGTGGTAAGATGTACTTTTTCATTTGAATTGTTGAAGTAAATAAATCCTTGAGATCTTTAAGGCTTCATATGTACAGCATCCCTGAGGGAAGTCACTTGTGATTATTTTTGGGTGACATTTTAGAACTTTTCTAAAGTAATGTTGCCCCAAAAGCCAGGTTTAATGTCAGGATATAGTTTGAAAGGTTGGTGATTCCCTGGGTCAGCTGGGAATGCTCCCTTACAGTTGATGGAGCTGAGGTAGGAGATGACCTTTTGGTTGGTAATCTTGGGCACTTCTCACCTCCTACCTCTCCATCATATTTTATGGTAACAAAACCATGAAATAACCAAGTTTTGTAAGTGTGCATATCTCCCAAGTATTGGCTGAGGTGTAATTTAATGGGAAATTAAGGATCTGGT